TTTAAGAATTTATTAAATTTTGATATATTTTTAACAAAAATAACAAATAATTCAAGTAAACATTTAATTAACCAAATTTTCCACCAAATAAAATAAAATTAATTACATCTTAAATAAATTAAAATATTACTTACTCAATGCATAAATTCTTTTATTATTTTTTGTTTAATTTTTGTGCATCTAAATTTATTTGTTTATGAAATAAAACAACTTCCCAATAAATTATATGTAAATAAATAAATAAATAAAAAGTACTTTTTAATCTGATTAATAAATTCATTCATTAATTGATTTATTTGTTACTTACTTTTCTATTTTAGTTTGATTATTTTCAACATAATCATTATTTATTATTTACTTTGGTCCAAATGAAGCTAAGAAAATTGGAATGGCCTTGGAGAAGTGCTAAGATTTAAAATCTTTGAATCTAAATTTAAGGTAATTTAACTAAATTTATTTTTTTTTAATTAATTAATTTATAAAATTTTTAAACTTTAAAACAATATGATTGGAAAATAAATTATTTTTTTTGTTTAATTTTTGTGATCCAAATTTATTTGTTTATGATTTGAAACAAAATCCTAATTAATTACATATAAATAAATAAAAAAATAAATAATTTTTAATTTGTTTAGTAAAACTTTTTTTTATTTTCTAATTTATTTTGATTATTTTCAATTCATTAATAATTTAATTTTTTCCTAGTTCAAATAACCTTGATGCAGATGGAGCTAAGTACATTGGAATGAGCTTGGAGAAATGCAAAAATATATCATCTTTGATTCTCAATCTCAGGTAATTTAACGATTTATTTTTTTATTTATTTTTTTAATTAATACATTTGTGAAATTTAAACTAGGAAAATTAGTTTATTAACTCACATCTCATAAATTCTTTTTTTGATTTTTGATTCAATATTGATTTATATTTTTATGAATTGAAACAATTTTCCTATCAATTAATAGCAAATATTAAATGCTTTTTTAACTGTTTAGGGAAATTATTTGTTAATTACTTTTTTATTTTCGATTTTTTACATTAATTTCAACAAATTTATTATTTATTATTTTCATAGTTCAAATAACCTTGGTGCAGATGGAGCTAATAATATTGTAAAGAGCTTGGAGTAGTGCAAAAAGATAACATCTTTGAGTCTTGATCTCAGGTGATTGATTAATTCAAAAACCATAAACTTTGTTTAAATTTTGATTAATTTTTTTTCATCTATATTTATTTGTTTATGAATTCAATAAACTATTCAGTTAATTACTCTTCTATTTTATTTTCATTATTTTCAACACATTAATTATTTATTTATTATTTTCATAGTTCGAATAGCTTTGATGTAGATGGAGCTTAAAACATTGGAATAAGCTTGGAGAAGTGCCAAAAAATAGCATATTTGAATCTCAAACTGGGGTAATTTAATTAATTAACTAACTAACTATTAATTTATTTAGTTTTTTGAATGGAATTTTTTATTATATTTTAACTTAAAAAAAAATGGGTTTATAAAATGAATTGATTGATTTAAAACTAATAAATTATTTTTAGTTTTTTCATTAATTTTTATATTGAAATAAAATAGCTTCCCATTTAATTAATTGAATATAAATAAATGAATGAATATTCTTAAACTTATTAGAAAAATAATTGATTAACTTATTAATTCTATTTTTTTTGTATTTTTATTGCATTCATTCATTATTTATTATTTTTCATAGTGGGAATGATTTTGGTAAAGATAGAACTAAGAATATTAGAATGTACTTAGTGAAGTGCGAAAATATAAAAAATTTGAATCTCAGTATTTGGTAATTTAACTAGTTTAGCTGAAAATTTATTTAGTTTTTTTAATAATTAATATATTTGTGAGATTTAAACTTCAAAACAAATGGGTTTCAAAAATCTTTTGATCCACAACAAACAAACAAATAAACAAACTAATAAATTACTTTTGTTTAATTTTAGTGCATTTAAATTTATTTGTTTATTTAAAAACAACTTCCTAATTTATTTTAAACATAAATAAGCACTTTTTCATCTATTTAGCAAAATAACTCATTAACTAACTGATTTATTAATTATTTTATACATTAATTATTTATAAATTTTATAGATACAATTAATTGCTTGGATAAGAAGTTTAAAATTAAACTGGAGAACTGAAAAAAAAATAAACTATTAAGATATTTTTTAAAAAATAAATATTGAGAAATTAATTAAACTATTGTTGTATTTTTTATTTTGGAATACCAATATCAAATGAAGGAGAAATATGTTATTTTTACTATAAACAAAGAGAGCATTAAATTTGAAGAATTTTGATATGTGAATCGCTTATATTTGATTTCTTTATCAATATGAAATACAATAAATACTGTGAAAAAGTACATAAATTTCATACATTTTTTGCAATTTTCATGTAAATTTGATAATTTTCATAAGTAAAACTTGATTTCTCCCTGAGGTTTTATTTAAATCATGACATCTAATTAATCATGATAAATAAAATAAGGATAGAAATATGATTGATGGATAATATTTAAGATTAAAATATAACTGGTATATAAAAGTTTGGAATTTATATAATTTAATAAGATGTAATATAACATTAAAAGTTTCAAATTATTTGAACGTTTTTGGAGAAATTGCTTATGAGGATTTAATTTATTTAAGTAAATTTAATTTTTTTATTTTTATAAATAATTTATTTACTTACAAAAATATGAATGATATTTATAAATATAAAATCAATAATAAAATCTATCTATCTATTTATATTTTAGGTTAAAAACACTTTTTCAAAATATTATATAATAAAATATATAATATTATTCAAACATTTTATATTTATTCTTCCTTTTTTCACCAGTTGTTTATCATTAGAAATCAAAGACAACTAATCTTTTTGATTTATGACACTTGCTTAGTAATTTGAATTTTTATGATTCAGTCTTTGAGTAATAACTTTTATAATATTAATAAAAATTAAAATAAAATAAACTTTTAAATTATAAATTATTCTTTAAATTAATAAATAAAATAATATTAGTAGAATAAAAAAATAAAAAATTAAAATAAATAAAAGATATCAAATAAATTCATAGAGCTTTTTTGTTTTACATTCATTTTTATAGTTTAAAATATCACAATCCAAAACAAATAAATTGTTTTTACTAAAGGTAAAGTTTCAAATTTGAGAGATTAATGCAATTTGCTAAAGCAGAACATAAGCCTAATGCACCTTCATCACCAATTTAATTGTCACTTTTTAAATATTGAAGAAAAAATATATCATTAAATAGTTAATAAGAAGGAAAAAATGAAGAAAAAATATGAAATGATAAGAAATAAATAATAAAAGCAAAAGTTCAAATAAAATGTTGATCTAAATTAAGAAAGAAAGAACAAAAAAAAACAAGCACAATAAAAAAAAAGAAAAAAGAGCTTTATTGTTTTTAATTAGTTTTTATAATTAAAAATATCACAATCCAAAACAAATAAACTGTTTTTACTAAAGCCAAAGTGTCAAATTTGAGAGATTAATGCAATTTGCTAAAGCAGAACCTAAGCCTGATGCACCTTCATCACCAATTTAATTGTCACTTTTTAAATATTGAAGAAAAAATATATCATTAAATAGTTAATTAGAAGGAAAAATATGAAATAATCAGAAATAAATAATAAAACAAGAGTTCAAATAAAATGATGATCTAAATTAACAAAGAAAGAACAAAAAAAAGCAAGCACAATAAAAACAAAAAAAAAAGAGTTTTTTTGTTTTTAATTAGTTTTTATAATTAAAAATATCACAATCTAAAACAAATAAACTGTTTTTACGAAAGTCTAAGTGCCAAATTTGAGAGATTAATGCAATTTGCTAAAGCAGAACCTAAGCCTGATGCACCTTCATCACCAATTTAATTGTCACTTTTTAAATATTGAAGAAAAAATATATCATTAAATAGTTAATTAGAAGGAAAAAATGAAGAAAAAATATGAAATAATAAGAAATAAATAATAATAACAAAAGTTGAAAATAAAATGATGAGCTAAATTAACAAAGAAAGAACAAAAAACACAAGCACAATAAAAAGAAAAAGAAATAAGAGCTTTATTGTTTTTAATTAGTTTTTATAATTAAAAATATCACAATCCAAAACAAATAAACTGTTTTTACGAAAGGTAAAGTGTCAAATTTGAGAGATTAATGCAATTTGCTAAAGCAGAACCTAAGCCTGATGCACCTTCATCACCAATTTAATTGTTA